TTTTTTTTTTTTTTTTTCTTTATACCTGTGACTGTAATTCTGTTTGGGAATAGAGTTTTCTTTATTGTGTTAAAGAGGTCATATCAGTGTAGGGTATGTCCTGATCCAAATCACTTCAGAGTGATATAAAGAGTAGCTTAAACATAGAGACAAGGTGGGCCTGACTCAAGCCATGGTGTTTTCAGTAGTTCTATCTGCATGAGTTCTGGTACCACTACAAACCCAAGGAGGGGTCACTATGAATCGGGTCTGACTTGATGGCACATAACAACAACAACAACATGTGAAAGCTGGACAGTGAATAAGAAAGACCACAGAAGAATTGATGCATTTGAATTGTGATGTTGATGAATAATTTGGAAGTTACTGTGGACTGCTACTATGATCACCTTGTCCAAAGGGACCATTCCCTGGAGAATATGGTGCTTGGAAAAGTGGAAGGTCAGCAAAGAAGGAGAAGACCCTCAGTGAGATAGATTGACCCAGTGGCTGCGACAATGGGCTCAGGTATAGCAAGGATTGTGAGGCTGGCACAGGACTGGGCAGTGTTTTATTCTGTTGTACAAAGGGTCGCTATGAGTCAGAGCTGATTCAATGGCATGTAACAACAACAACACATGGACTGCTAGAAGAACAAACAAATAAGTCTTGGAGGAAGTACAGCCAGGATGTTCTTTAGAAGTGAAAAGAGCCAAATTTTGTCTTTGGTCAGCTGTCAGAAGGGACCAGTCCCTGGAGAAAGATACCATGCTTTGTAAAGTAGAGGGTCAATGAAAAAGGGGAAGACTCTCAACAAGATAGATCAATACAATGGCTACAGTGATGGGCTCAAGCATAGCAACAATTATAAGGATCACTGTGTTACACAGGACTGGGGAGTGTTTCATTCTATTTTACGTAGGGTTGTTATAAGTTGGAATGGACTCAACGGCACCTAACAACAACAGACATTGAGACAAAGGAGCTGGTGCAGTGAGTAAGCTGCTAACCAGAAGGTCCAGTAGTTAGAACCCACCAGTGGGAAAAAGATGAGACAGTCTGCTTCTGTCAAGATTAAAGCTTTGGAAATCCTTTGAGACAGTTCTGCTCTGTCCTATAGGGTCACTGTGAGTCAGAATCAGCTCAATGGCAATGGGTTTAGACATAGAGACAAACAAGCACAGACAAGGGGTGGGGAGATAGAAGTCACATTTGGATCACCAAGGAGCCAAGGGACATGAGACTACAGAAAGTGAGAGAAACAAGGATGTTCCCCTAGAGCCAGTGCCCTGAATTCAGACTTATCTTACTGAACAATGAGAAAATAAATTTGTATCCTTTAAAACCACCCATTTGTGGTATTTCTGGTATAGCACTAGGAAACTAAGACACATACCAAAATTTAAAATATAATTTTAGGATAACTTACTTGATATTGATGATGTCTTCTTAAATTATCAGCAGCTCGCCTCTGAAAAGGAAAGGGTCATTTACTTTATGGTTATAATGATATATTACCATTATGAAAAAGAGAATTCATTGTCATTTTAATCAGGAATTTTTCCTTCTTTTCCACAAAGTGGGTGTTTTGCTAGACAATGGACAATGGCTACAGGGTGCTGAGCCTGAATGCAAAGAATGACTGTATGAAAGTCTAAGATCAGAGCACTTTGGGTATGTACATAGAGCACCCTGAAAGCAGAGCCCTAAGTCCATCGTAAAGTCTTGACCATCACCAGTGACTCTATAGGACAGAGTAAAACTGCCCCATGGCTGTAAATCTATACCGAACAGACTGCCTCAGCCTTCTCCCACCGAGTGGCTGGTGGATTTGAACCACCAACATTTTGATGAACAGCCCAATGTCTTAACCACTCCAGAGAGCTCCTTTGAAGTCTTGACTTGAGTTTAGTATCCACGCTGAATTTTAAAGTGCCTTTTCTAACAGCAGTTTTTCTAACCTTTGTGCTGACTGAAACTTGTATCCTAAAAAAAAAAAAAAAAAAATCACTACCATCGAGTAGGTTCCAATTCATAGTGACCCTTCCTCAGGTTTCCGAGGTGGTATTGCTACAGAAATGAGTACATTGCTGTCTTCCTTCTGAAGAGTGACTGGTGGTTTTGAACCACCAGCCTTAAGGTTAGAAGTCAAATTCCTTAAGCATTATGCCACCAAAGCTCCTTTGTATCCTAAAGGAAACTTTTTTTTTCCTCTGTCGCCTGTCATATACAGGATGTCTCAGGGGTGTCTTTCCTCTATGGTTAAAATAGATGCAGGATGTTACAGTCTATGGCCCAAAGAGTCTTAACTCACAGTATTATGGATAAATGGGCCTGCAGTAAATATATGCTTGAGAAAGCACTTTTAATAACGGATTACTAGAAGAACCTGTCATGTCACTGTCCTGTGACAATCCTGTAATTAAAAAAAAAAAAAAAAAAATCGTGCTTCCAATATGTACCCTTAACCAATCATGTAATCCAACATATATTTTATCCACCAGCTCTCACTGAGTCCCAACCCTCAGATATCCAGCTTTCGACTCCCCTGATTGTCTTTCAGCCAATTATGATTTTGTAGCTTTAATTCCTGCTTAAACTGTATAACAATGGTTGCTTCTTTATTGTCTGGAAGAGTGACCATCTCCTCTCTGTGAATATGGATGTTTTCCCAGTGTGGGCCATCTCTGGACTTTCAATAAATCTCTTAATTTTACTTTTACAGAGTGATTTATCACTCTAGGGCAATTGAATCCAAAATAAAGTGCTTTTCTTTTTAAAACACTGAGTAAGTTAATAATGGAAATGTTGTTCTTCTAATGTATGCGGTTGGAGAATTAATTAATCGTTGTCGACATACACACAAAACCACCTGAACCCTTGCCAAGAGACAGAGAGGGGTTATATTAAAAACAAATAAATAAAAGAAGAAAAGGAAAATTAACAACATATATTACTTTGATTTTAAAGTATTTTTAATCCACAAAAACAAATATTAGCCATAAAGAGCTTAATTCAAAAAGCAAAACTCTGCCAGAAAGTGCTCTACAGCAATGTAAATTTGTTTTATCTGCTAGAAAAGGATAGTTGTCAAACCATTACCTCTAATTTAAATCTCAAAAAGTCTCCTGGCTACAGGTGAGTGGAGGCAGATTATCTCCTGAGCTCAGTAAAAGGCTGAATCAAGGTTCAATCAATCACATTAAGATTGGCAAATAGTTGATTTTCTTTATTTCTCCCTCCTTGGTAGGAAGGTTGGACAATCTACTTTTGTAGTGATACCGCCTCAGGAGCCCAAGAAGGGGTCACTATGAGTGGGATCAGACTCAATGGCAGTGAGGTTTTTGGTCTATGCAAAGGAGCTCTGGTGGTACAGTGGTTAGGGCACTTAGTTGCTAACCAAAACATTGGTGGCTTAATGCCACTAGCTGTTCTGTGGAAGAAAGATGCAATCTGCTTTCATAAAGATTTATAACTTTGTAAACCCTAGGATGGTCTCTGTGAGCCAGAATTGACTACATGGCAGGGAGTTTGGGTTTTTTGGGGGATTCTTGTCTTTTTATGTTTCATGGTACCTAGCTTCTTTGTTTTTTCAAGAATCAAAAAGCATGTGGAAAAACTGCACAGAATAAACTTCATGTTCAAATTTGGTGATTTTGGTTCTTTAATATAACCAAATTAAGAATTAATTATGAAGGTATTCATAAATATCAATGTTACAAAATTGAGAATTTAGCCATGATATACAGAGTATAAGGAGCACTGGTGGTACTGTGGAATTAAAAATGTAAATACGAAATTAGAAATGTAAAATTAAGGTAAAATTAAAATGTAATATTTTAATATAGCAGTAAGAGGCCACTATTAAGGCCAGCAAAAGGGCGGGCCCCAGTTCCAGGAACAGGGGCAAGGCAAGGATGACTAAGCCCTGAACTCAACCATACCATGTAATTGGAGAATTCAA